GCCCTTGGAATATCTGGAATATCCCTTTGCTGTGTATACATTCAACTGTATGAATCGAGAGTATTCTTTTTGTGAAGGACTGAGGATAATATTGTAAGTGAATGCTTGCCATGGTGTTGCAAGTCAATTTCCCTAATGAATATTACTACACATTCAAGCAATGAGGTCCATAAATGGAGTGATGAATTATGCCATTTTATTGCAGGAGAACTCTCTTGATTCTGGCTGCCTAGCTTAAGCTGTGCTCTTGATAACTGCTCTCTGATTTTCATCCTAGGACACCACGTTGCATTAGCCATCTCCATAACTCCAAGACTCCTTGGCTGCTCCTCTATATTTATTCTGTTATGGATTGTAAACTTATGATTATGGAGGTTCAGTTCTAATATTTATCCTTTAAGATTGAGTTCCTTTTACAACCTCACTGTTAGCAGGCCAGTTATGTGGTTCTCTATCCAAACTTCAGCCATGGTCTAAAAAAAAGAGTCACTGCTGGACCATTTTAACAAGTCTGGTTCTCCTCCACTACACATTCCTAAGGCCTTCAGTGAATGACAATTTTACGTAGATTCTCTCTTGGAGAATATCATGATGTAATATCTGCTGTCACATAATGTAGCCATTCCAACATTACCACTTCTTCTTAGTTTCTTTATTCCTTTCCCTATGATCTGTGAACTAAAGCATTTTATCACTAATTAGCACACAACATTGACTTTTCTAGACATTCAAATCAACACTCTAGTAAGATTGCGCCAATCTCCTCCTTGAGAATTCATTTTCCTTCAGCTAATAATTCTTGTTTATTCAGTTTTATATCCCAGTTTCTTGATTTAAAGCACCCTCAAAATCCAATTCTGTGAAAAGTTCTATAGATACATACTGAATAGTACCTGTAACCCCTATGGATTTTCTCTCTTTCCTCCTTTAAGAGTCCCAGGACAGTCCTAGTTAGATTGTGCAGATTTTATTCTAGTTATTGGCTTGGAGGCAATAAAATATATGGACTGTCATTTATAGTAATTTAAAAACAGAGAGGGTATCTCTTGAACCCGTGGGTCTTCCTAATGAGATTATCAGGCCAGGTGGTAAATGTTGCAACTGACTTCTTTAATTCAACCATTATAAACTATAGGAGAATGACATGAGCTAAAAAATTTCAATTTTCAAGCAAAATTTAGTGAAAATTTAAAGGGATCAGGATGCCTAGAATTATATGTCTAAACTATATTTCTCCTAGTTACTGTAGATGGCAGAAGATTCTTGAAGTAAGGAATAGAATTATAGCCTATTTCAGAGGGACCTCTGACAGGTAGAGAACCTGAAGTGCCCGGGAGGTGGGGGGGACATGAGAACAAATGCTGGCCAAGGAAAAAAAAAAAAAAAAGAATTATAGCCTATTTGAAGATCTCAAAGATCTAGGTATAATATTCCTTAATGAGATATCAGAAAGATAAAGGGGAAACCCTTTTATAGCTTTCAAATATCACAAGTTCAGACCTATTAGATCCTTTCTAATGGATAAAAAAATACCCTAACACTATCACTATTTAGGACATGCTTTTATAGCTACTTTTAGCCATTTAAAATGTTTCTAGGAGTTTAAGGATACATTCCCTCAATAACCTGATTTTCAGCCAGGTGAGAGAGACCTGCTAAAAAAGATTTTGTGAGTATGGTACATACTAGTGAGTCCTAATAAGAATTGTAAATCCCTTAAGTCATTTAAAATTGAACTGGTTTCATAATTTTAATTTTTTTTAAATTTAAAATCATCTTGGACTACAGAGGACAGAGTTACAAAAATGGATTTAACAACTGTTGCATTACAATTATGTCTCATATTTTTCTGTTGAAATGATTTTTTTCTATAACAATCATTCTATACTATCTTACCATTATGAGTTAAGACTTTGATGGACAGAAAAATTGAGTGTTTAGTTTAAAATTCTTCAAAGAGAGAAATCAAAAAAAACCATCCCTTTTATTATCGAAACAAAAAAATCAAATATTTGGGAATAAATCTAACAAAAGAGGTAAAGGACCTATACAAAGAAAACTATAAAACACTGTTAAAAGAAATAGAAGAAGACACAAAGAAATGGAAAGACATCCCCTGCTCATGGATTGGAAGAATAAACATTATTAAAATGGCCATCCTACCAAAAGCAATATACAGATTCAATGCTATTCCAATCAAAATTTCAATGTCATTCTTCAAAGAAATAGAACAATTATTGATGAAATTCATATGGAATCACCAAAAACCCCGAATAGCCAAAGCTCTCCTGAAAAAAAAAGAAGGGAATGGAGGCATCACACTCCCAGACTTCAAACTCTACTACAAAGCCATAATCATCAAAACTGCATGGTATTGGAACAAGAACAGACATACAGACCAATGGAATCGAATAGAAAATCCAGAAATAAACCCACAGATTTATGGTCAACTAATCTTTGACAAAGGAGCAAAGACTATGCATTGGAGCAAAGAAAGTTTGTTCAATAAATGGTGCTGGGAAAACTGGGTCGCTACATGCAAAAGAATAAAGCTTGACCACTACCTCACACCATACACAAAAATCAACTCAAAATGGATTAAAGAACTAGACATAAGACCTGAAACCATAAAATACATAGAAGGAAATATAGGCGAAACACTACGGGATTTGCACATCAAAGACATCTTTACAGACACATCACCCAAGCAGTGATAGTGAAGGCAAAGATAAACAGCTGGGACTACATCAAATTAAAGAGCTTCTGCACAGCAAAAGAGACAATAACAAAAACAAAGAGAAACCCCACCAACTGGGAGAACATTTTTGCACCCAACACTAATGATAAAGGACTGATCACAAAAATCTGCAAAGAGCTGATGAGACTCAGCAACAACAAAGAAAATAATCCAGTCAAAAAATGGGCAGAAGAGCTAAAAAGAAACTTCTCTGAAGAGGAAATGCAAATGGCCAACAGACATATGAAAAAAATGTTCAACATCACTTGCAATCAGGGAAATGCAAATCAAAACTACCATGAGATACCATCTCACACCAGTGAGAATGGCACATATTTAAAAAACTAGCAACAACAAATGCTGGCGAGGGTGTGGAGAAAAAGGAACTCTTCTGCACTGTTGGTGGGAGTGCAAACTGGTCCAACCACTATGGAGAGCTGTGTGGAGATTTCTGGACCTACTAAACATAGAGCTTCCATATGATCCAGCAATTCCACTCCTAGGTATTTACCCAAAGGACACAGAAACATCAATTCCAAAGAACACCTGCACCCCTATGTTTATAGCAGCACTGTTTACAATAGCTAAGCTTTGGAAACAACCCAAATGCCCAAAAATAGATGACTGGATCAAGAAGATGTGGTACATATATACCATGGAATATTACTCAGCATTCAAAAAAAGATAAACACATGCAATTTGCAGCAACATGGATGGCGCTGGAAGGGATCATGCTCAGCGAAATAAGCCAAAAAGAAAAAGAAAAATACCGGATGGTCTCACTCATAGCAGGAATCTAGAAAACTTAAATAAGGGACCAGGAAAATGAATATAAGAAAGTGAAAATCAAAATCAACAAAAAACTATGAACCAGAGACACTTTTTGGGGGGTGGGGGCGGGAAGGGAAGGATTGGGTCAGAATGGGGCTTTTGCAATTGTATGGGGGAATATAAAAATAAAATTTATTATTTAAAAAAAAATAAAATTCTTCAAAGAGGGACATCATATGTCTCCATACCACAAATAATAATGTAGACAAATTTCAGCTCAATAAAAAATAAAATTCTTCAGTCCATTAGGACTGCTAGAGGGGAAGGGACAAAGGGGGCTTCATAATCTAGGGCAAATGCTAGGCATGCTTTGATGTTGGTGTGGTATCATACATATGAGGAGGTGTGATCTGATTCTCCTAAATCACATACTGTTTTGTAAACCAATATTGCCTCAGTAAAGAAAAAAAACATAAAAATTCTTGAGTCAAAGGAGTCAAACAAGATAAACCATATCCAAGATGTTCCACAGTTCCATTGACCTGACTCAGAATAAAACACTTAGACTTCTACTGAATGTTGTAATAAGATAGATTCTAGGGGGCCTCCCCTGTGGCGCAGTGGTTGATCGCTGGGTTGCGAAGCTGCCCGCGGCCTCTGCGGCGCAGGTTCGATCCCAGGCTGCTCCCTGGCCACCGGAGGAGGGTCCCACATGGCGCGCAGAACTCTCCTGCTGCCCGCTGCTCCCCTCAGCAGTGTGCTTCGGTCCTTCTGCCTGCTCTGCTCCCCGCTCTGGCTCTGGTGAATTCTCTCACCCTCCCGTGCTTCTGACTGTACCCAGTGCATGTATAAACAAAGCAAGCAAACAAACAAATAAATAAATAAATTAAAAAAAAGATAGATTCTAGGATTTTTTTATTCTTTGAACTACTGATTACAATATACTTGCTTTAATTACTTAGTTTCACTTGGCTCAAAATAAGTGAATCATGATATATTGCTTAAAAATACCCTTTGAATCATATGTGAGCCTGTCTTTTCCAATTGAATAATTATTACTTTATAATGAAATCCTGATTTATGAATCATATATAATGAAATTATAACAGCATAAAAGGTTCATTGCTCACATAAAAAATGTTCAGTTAAAGGGAATCACACAGACACATTAGCATAAAAAATTCCAACTTCCCAGTTCATGAGTAATATATTAATATCTCTATACCTATTTTTATATAAAAACATGTAAAAATAATAAAAATGTCAAATTTATCTTCTGGTATCCCCAAATAAACTCAAAATTAGGATTCTATGGCTAGTGTTCCTGTTGTTCATCTTTCTGTTATATTACATGCAAACTCATTGCTAATTAAACTGGACTGGATCTTACCATTTATTTTTCCTTTAACTAGTTCTCTATGTTACAATTATTATAATAAAGAATTTGAGAAGCAGGCTAATTACACTACTCATGTTTCTCATTATCTGTTATGTCTCAGAAGGTTTTCTAGATTTTTTTAAGTCTGATTCCTTTCCTGATTACCCTACTCAATGCCCCTTTTACCTCCTTGTTCCTCAAAGTATAGATCAATGGATTTAGAACAGGAGTGACCACAGTATACATGATAGCAACAATCCGGTCCTGGTCCATGGAACTTCCTGAAGTTGGACGAGTGTAAGTGAAGAGAACAGGGGCATAAAAAAGAATAACCACCATAAAATGTGATGCACAAGTAGACAGTGCCTTTTGAAGCATGCTGCAGGAATGGGTCTTGTAGAAGAGATAGGTGATAATGTAGAAATAAGAGAGCAGTGTTAGAAAGAATGGGCCCATGGCAATCGTCCCTGTGACAATATTGAGCAGCCACTCGTTGAGTTCAGTGTTCCCACAGGCCAGATCCAGCAATGGCTTAATGTCACAATAGAAATGGTGGATATGATTAGAACCACAGAAGTTCAAACGAGAAGTCATTATGGCATGCAGCAGGGCATGGAAAAAACCAAGAGTCCAGATCGTGACAGCCATCTGTGTACACTGCTGATGATTCATAATAACAGTGTAATGAAGTGGTTTGCAGATGGCCACGAAGCGGTCCAAAGCCATCAAAGCCAATAACATGGCCTCTGTGCTCCCAAAGAAATGGAAGAAATGCAGTTGAATTATACATCCATAGAAAGAAATTGCTTTGTGTGTAGAGAGTAAGTTCTCCAGCATTTTTGGCAGTGTCACTGTGGAATAGCAGATATCCAGGCATGAGAGGTTTCCCAGGAAGAAATACATTGGTGAATGGAGTTTAGGATCAGAGATGATAATCAACAAGATGGCTCCGTTCCCAGTCACATTGACAAAGTAGATGACCAGGAAAAGCACGAAGAGCAAAGGCTCCAGTGAGTGGATAGCAGTCACTCCCAGAAGGATAAATTCTGTGACTGAGGTTTGATTCTGCATCACTTAAAGAAAAAGATAAATAACACATGAAAGTATATTTCTAAAGGGCTTCATTATACGCAGCTCAATATTTTACCATCCAGACAAGCAGTATGTTCAAGAAGGGTATTGCCTTTTTCATAGTCCCAAACTTAGTGGATGTACAGTATTTATACCATTAGACAGCTAAATTGGTTATGGCTAGGACTCAATATATTTTTCTTTATTAGATTTTTGTCAATATTTCTTTTCTCCAGGGAGTCATAGCATATTGTTAACCTAACATCTGCAATCTTCTCTCACTATGAAGATCTACATTCTGATACAAACTTTTTTCCTTCATAAATCAGCTCAAATAAGTCATTTTTTTGATGAATAAGAAATCAGATTTCACTATACTTACACAAATGTCTTAAGCATTTTCTTATTAAATTGTCAGACATTTACGTATCTATAACATTGAGTTTACATTTTTGCTCTGCTATCTGTACACATTTATAATAGGTCAAATTTTTAAGTACTCTACGCACTGCTATTTCTTGATATAGTACAAACCACCTGAGAAGTTTTCATGTAAGAAATAGACAAAGGTGAGTTTATTAAAACCATAAAGTAGAGGTGATAATGTAATGACAATAGAACATTTGTGGCAGGTGAGTGAAGCTTATGCACATCTTGATGTGGCAAGATACACTCCCCAAATGAGTTTTATAAATGAATGATGAATGAAAATTTGATTAAAATGTAATGTGGCAATAATAGTGTCTCCTCATCTTCTGATGTAGGGAGGGCTGAGCTGTCTCTTTCTGATCCCTCCCTGATCCACTCCTCTGGAAATCTAATAGTGTCATAAGTGATAAGGAAGAAGACCACATCAATCATATATTAGCCTGGGTATATATGAAATTTTATCACCATATAACGATCATCACTTCTCTTCCTATAGCATGAGCATCTATATTTTCTCAAAATAAGGTAAGAGCCTTGATATGAAGTCAATTCATATATTTATTGAAACATCTTTTTTTTTTTTCCCAGAAAATAATCTGTTCATGAGAATGTTTCACGTGCCCTTGAAGAGAATGTGTTTAGCTATTTGGAGATGAAAAATTCTATATATGTCTAAGTCCATATGATTAAGTATTTAATTTATGACAATATTTAAATAATTGTCTTTTGTCTGGACTTGGGTATATATATATATATTTTTTTTTTTCTTGCTGTGTTGCCCCACTCCCTTATCATTAGATAATATCTCTGTAGGCTCATGTACTAAAAACATGAAATTTTCTCTTTTATGACAAAATGAATGGAAGTTCAGGTGACTGTTTTAAGAGAAATAAGTCTTAAAGTGAAAGATAAGCACCAGATAGTTTTGGAGATGTGGAATATAAGTAAGCAAAACAAACAAGAGATAGAACAAAGGTAATTCTTAGACTCTGAGAAAAATACGCTGGTTATCAGAGTGGAAGTGCAAAGTGGGTGAAAAGTATGTACTGAGGAAATCCACTTGGCAATGGTGAAAGGAACTAGAATTATGGTGGTGCTTGTGGTGAGGTTTGTACACATATCAAGTTATGAGACTGTGGTCCTGAAACTTACATGGTATTATTATCCATGGGAAAGAAATAAGGCCTCCTTGGTGGCCTGGGGTTGAGTCTAAAACTATCACCGCTCTGGCTTATGTTCGATTCCCACAGATGGAGCGAACCCATATATGGCACAGAAGACTGCTCCTGTCTTACCCTCTGCTGCCCTTAGCAGTGCGTTTCAGTAAATCTGCCTATTCTGCTTCCCACTCTGTCTCTGGTAAATCCTCTCATGCCCCAAACCTCTGGCCTACAGCCAGTTCTTCCATGCCAAAAAAAAGAAAAAAAAAAAAAAAAGAGCATTGGGAAGGAAACTGTAGTGGCAGGATGGGGATGGAGCAGGTTTCTATGATCCCAGCGGACTGCGTAAAGGAGGAGTCCTGGAGCCCTGGGTGGGTTTCTCAGCCTTTTGTTAAGCTTTCACATGTAGTGCAGCAACCATGTACAAGGCAGGCAGGGTGCTGGGGGGCCAGGAGGCTGCAGGCCTCCAAGCCCCGGGCAAGTCTTCACTCGGCTTCTCTGGCTTCTTTCTCCCCTTCTCTCTCCTGCGTCTTCTGCTTCTCTCCTGCTTCTCCTTCTTTTGGGGAGTATCTCAATGCTCCTCCCATGGCCCACAGAAGTAAACAACACAACAATGTAACAAGCGCAGATGCCCCATCAGGCAGGGCAATCCTAATGGTGGGAGGGCAGAAAAGCCTGAAAACTCATTTACCTACAGAAATCAATAAACATTTTTTAAGAAATAAGTGCTTCTAATTCCAACTTTGATGACAAAATCTCTTTTCTTATAGTTTCCCCATCTTTCATTTTCTAGATAACCAAATTTAATTCTCTGCTATAACTAGAAAGATTAGCAATTCCTCCTTATTTTGACCACTACTGAACTTTCCTTGAAATATCTATGGCTTCAGTCTCCTTGAAATCGTCTCTTCTTTCATGACCTATTTTTCTTAAACCCAGCATTCATTTTTCCTGCAATAAACTATTCTTCTTATAATAGGGAATATTCTACTTCTAATGGATTTCACCTTCTTCATTTCTGGTTTCATTAATGTGATCTTGGAGGTCATGTTGTCCCTCAGAATTGCAGAAGTCTACCTACTTTATGTAATTTTTCACCAGAGTGGTCAAGAATTTTAAGCTACTCTTATTTAAAAAAAAACATGTTTTCTTTATTTACTTTTATTTCCACAAAATAAAATGTTTGTTTTCTATTAACAGCATGTAGTAATTTTATCATATTTGCAGAATTGAAATAATGCTGTCTTCTTCAAATAATGTTAAAACTCTTGAACAATTGTTAGTTTATTATAATAAGTTAATATCTAAGAAAATGTGTTGTTTATAAAGGCAGAATAACTTTTGAATTACTTTCACTTCATTATTTGCTAGGTATTTGACACTATCTACTTCAGGTACTAACAAAATCAGACATTATTTTGTGAAACAATTTTCCATTTGTTCCATTCATTTATGGTATAGCTCTTTTTTACTGTGAGGGAAGAAGGATGTGTGGAAACTTATAAGAGTGGGAGACAATGAGAAAATTATAAGAACTTTAGGAAATCTGAAAAGAGTTGGGGTAATCCTACAAAAGGGGACTTATTCAATGGTTGGTAAATTCCCAAGGGAAGAAGAAAATGGTTTAATATGACCAGAGAAAAGCAGTAAATTAACAAGGTTACACTTACAAAGAACCCATGGGATTCTAGGCTGTATAGTTGGAAGAAATCATTAGGGGCTGACAGTAAACATGTCAGAGTATTTTTCTGTGATACTCAAGTACATTTTTCATATATAAAAAAAGCCTTCCTAAAAGTAAAATCAGCATTCATGAACAGTACAAATGATATGTGAACTACCAATTTTTGTTCTGTGATCCATTACACAAAATTTACCAGAAATTTATCTTGGAAAAAGAAATTTCTCTTAACATTTGAAGATAATTAGCAAACAGTCTAATTTATAGTAAATGATTCTTTGAGCTAAATTTCAATTTTTAGAGATTACACATTTCCTTTAAAAATGTCTAGACATCAGCATTATTGGGTTGAAGATGTAATATGGCAATAAAAGTGTAGGAAGTTAAGAGCCTTCACAATCCACAGCAGAAGAAAGAGTCCATCATTAGATAAGAAACAGTTCATTTAGCTTTAGTAGTAACAAGAAGATAGAAAATATTGGTAATTCCCATGCTGTCTTTTATTTTATCTCCTTACCTGTGTTTTGTGTTCAGATTCACAGCTGTGTAAGCTTTTCAGATTTACACTCCCAGTGATTAAAAATAGTAGAAAAATATTTCAAGTGATAGTTCATATTGGGGTTGCAAATAGACTCTTCATCTTCAAAAGCTCTTTCCTCTCTTGAAATTCTTCCTGGCTTTTTATGAAATACAATTCTCTAGATATAAAAATCCTGAGAGAGAGAGTATCCCATGAGTGCTGAAAAAACTTGTTAAAGTAAACAGGATATCCTTTCATATCTGCAAAATGAGGAGATTCCCCTTGTGAATTTTCTATCTTGACTTCTATACTCTGTATCAATTTTCTTTTCCATACAAGTTTTATCTTAGTTTCAAATCATAGCTAGGACAAAGATAAAGTCCAAATATATTTTCATTTTTTTATCTTTGTTACTTCTATGGAAAATAATCTGATGTATAAAGTGGAAAAACATTTCACAAGGAAAATGAGGAGTGGGGACTAGTCACATTCCATTGATCAGCATAGAAAGATGATATATTTAATATTCCATTTATGTACTATTGAAGGTCTCTGGAAAACAAAGTGGGGTTAGAGAGTGGTAGTACTGCCTTTGTCCCATTTATTTATTTATTTTTTTGCCCTTTTAAATCTGACTTTCCTGCTCATAATAACAGATTATTTTCTTTTTATCTTGCGATCCAAAGATCATGCTTTTCTTTGTTAATAATGTAGACTTGTTCAACCCCTATGAAAAGAATCATGGAGAGTCCTCAAAAGAATAAAAATAGAGCCAGATGACACAAAAACACTAATTCAAAAGGAAACCTGTGACCTATGTTTATAGCAGCACTATTTACAGTAGCTAAGAAGTAGAAACAAAGTCAGTGCCTCAGAACAGATGAGTGGATCAAGAAGAAGTTATATAAAGAGAATGGAATACTACTCAATGAGGTTGATAAATTGGGCGATAAATATGCCATTGATAAATATGCCATTTTATTGGGGGGATATTTTTCTTGATTCTGACTGCATAGTGTAAGTAAGCAGTACTCTTGGTGACAGCTCTCTGATTTTGATCCTATGACACCATGTTGCTTTAGCCATCTCCATAACTCCCTGTGACTCAAGACTCCTTGGCTGCTCCTCTAAATTCACACTGTTATAGAATTCTGAACTTATGATTATGGAGGTTCAATTCTATTATTTATCATCTATTGCTTGAGTTCTTTCTTCTACTTCACTATTAGCAGTCCAGTTATGTAACTCTATCCAATCTTCAGCCCTGGTCTAAAGAAGAGAGTCACTGTTGGACCTTAATAATAATGTCTGGTTCTCCTCCATGAGAACATTCCTAATGCCTTTAGTGAATGGTATATATATTTTTAGATTCTCTCATGAAGAATAATATTATGGATTACTTGACCTAACATAATATATATATTCCAATATAACCAGTTTTCCTGTGTTTCTTTTTTCCTTTTCCTATAGTCTGTTAATTAAAGCATTTTATCATTAATTAGCATGAAACATTGACTTTCCTAAGCTTTTAAAATCCACACCACAGCAAGATTGTCACAATCTCCTGCTTGAGAATTCATTTTCCCCAAGTTTATTGATTCTTTTTTATTCAGTTTTATATTTCAGTTTCTTGATTTAAAGCACCATCAACATCCAATTCTGTGAAAAGTCCTATAGATACATGCTGGGTAGTACCTGTAACCCCTATGGGTTTGTTCTCTTTCCTCTTTTAAGGGTTCCAGGACACTCTTAGTTAGATTTGCAGAATTCTACTCTGATTATTGGCTTGGAGCCAATAAAATATATGGACTGTCATTTATAGTAATTTGAAAAATAGAAAGGTTATCTATTGAACTCATGGATCTTGCTAATGAGATTATCAAGCAGAGTGGTGAAGTTGCAGCTGACTTCTTCATTCAACTATTTAGAACATGAAAGAATGAGATGATCTAAAATTTTTCAATTTTCAAGCAAAATTTAGAGAAAATTTAATGAACTAGGATGGCCTCAGACTTAAAAATCTAAACTGTGTATTTCTCTTATCAACTGTAGATAGAAAAATATTCTTGAAGGAAGAAATGGAATTATGGCTGTATGTGAATATATCAAAGATGTGGGTATAGGATTCCTTAATGAGATGTCAGAAAGATAAAGGGGAAAGTCTATAATAGCTATAAAAATTCACAAGTTCAGACCCACTAGACACTTTCTAATAGATAAGAAATACCCTAAAACTATTTGGGTGATACCTTTATGGCTACATCACCCATTTGGAATATTTATTGGAATTTAAGCATGCATTCTCTCAACAACCTGATTTTCAGCCAAGTGAGAGAGACCTGCCTAAAAAAGATTTTCTGAGTATGACATGTAACTAGTGAGCCCCAATAAGAATAGTGATACCTCTAAATCTTTTGAAAATAATTTTACTGTTTTCATCATTTTTTTAACATCATCATCTTGGACTATAGGGGACAGAGTTAGAAATGGATTTCACAACTGTTCTATTGCAGTAATACATCTCCTATTTTTCTTTTGAAATGAGATTTTTCTATTATGGTCATTTTGTACTACCTTACCATTATCAGTTAAGCCTTTGATGAACAAATTGAGTTTTTAGTTTAAAATTCTTCAGTCATATGGGGAGATCACATACCTCTAAAACACAAATAATGTGAGCAAATATTAACTCAATAAAATCTAAGATTCTTCAGTCCAGTTAAGATGGCTGTGTAAGCTTAACTCAATAAAATCTAAGATTCTTCAGTCCAGTTAAGATAGCTAGAGGGTAAGAAACAAAGGGGAAAATAACCAGGGTAAAGGACTATGGGTGCTTTGATTATGGGGTGGTGTTGTAATCATATGTATGAGGAGTTATGAACTTATTCCCCTAAATCATGTTCAGTTTTTAAAAGAATAACTTTATTATTTATTTTTTCATAGAAGTGCTGGGATGTAGGCCAGAGGTGCAGGGTCTGAGGAGACTCACCAGAGACAGAGTGGGGAGCAGAACAGTTGGATTTACTAAGATACACTGCTGAGGGGAGTAGCAGGTGAGACAGGAGAGGTGTACTTCACTATGTGTGGGTTAGAGCCCTGGCTGGGACCTAACTCAGGCTGAAGTGGCTATAACTCTGAGACTTAACTCCTAAGCCACCAGAGAGGGCCCCTAATGTATAGTTTGTTTACCAATATTACTTCAATAAAGAAAAAAATAATAAAATTCTTCAGTCAAATGGAACCATACACGAGGAAATATATCTAAGAAATAGCACTGGTCCATTGACCTGACTTAGAATAAAAGACCTAGACTTTTAGTGAATGTTGTAGTAGGACAGATTTTATGATTATTTGAAACAAAACTAAATGAACTTTTTAAATGGCAATTATGTGAATTATTAGTAGTTGCAGTCTGGAATTTGATGAAATAGGAACTCCACAATCTTTAACACTTTCCAAAGAGAGGTAGGGGCTAGGGATTATTTTTTCTCTGGTTGAATGTGACTGTTTCGATCAAGATTTTAAGTGATGTTATTGCTCATCCTTGGTTTTTGTTTTTTTTTTTGTGACCTAACTGGCAACTTTTGTCTACATTATTAGCGCCAAAGTAAAAGCACTTTCTGAGACATCTCTGCTAGAGGAGTATGCAAGAAATACATGGAGAAACATCAGAAAGAGAGATTTTTGCCACCTCTGATATAGTCCATGCCCATCTGTTCAATTCATCCAGATAATGAAAGGTTGAGCAGAGCCTACCCAATTTCTAATCCACAGTATAATATATTTCAATAAAGAGGTGATTTCAAGCCACTCATTTGGTAATACTAGTGTGTTTTGGTCTTACAGATATCCAGAAACTATGAAGCCCATTATAGTTTGACACATCCATGTAGGTTAGATTTTATACAGTATTTTGATCAACAAAAACACTGGTATGAAGTCATTCTAGATAGTAGACACCTTCTCTACACACATACTTTTTCATAAACAATGCTGTCTTTAAAGGGACAATGAAGATGGATTGGAAGATATAGGAAGTATGAGAGGTCAGACAAAATCATTAGTGTTAGCAAAAGTAAGTGCAGAGACTTTAAATAGTCAACCTTCCTACTCAATATATTCTTTCATTTCTTGTTTATCTGTAATGCAAGCTGATAGCTATCTCCTTTTTTTTATGATTAGCAGTCACTTCTAACAAATTAGAAAGAACACAGTGTACCTCTTATATGATAGTTCCAGAAATATCTTAGCAACCATGGATTAATAATATGAGTTTTGGAGCCAAATAAAAAATGCAAACTGTTGATGATTTTTAACATTTCACCTGTTTTGTACTACATTACAATCTTCAAACATATGTATAGATATAATAAAAACAATACAAAAAAAGCAAGGGTCTTGAAAGACAGCATTTTTATGGCAAAAAGCTGAAGGAAAATTATATGCTAATATTAATAAAATTAATATTGAAATAGTTGGACTCCCAAATTATTTCACCTGCCTTCACTTTTAACAATACTTTACAAATATCCTTGACAGTTTGCTAAGCCTTCTAATGCATTTCTGTACATAGTTCCCAAAGCTATTATTTACCGTGTCAATTAGTGATTCAAACACTTGCTTCAATTCCTTATTTTCCTCCATGCTTAGGAAATAAGATCATGACATAATGTTTAAAAATACCCTTTGATTCATGTGAGAGGAAACCTTTACTTTTCTAATTGAATAACTATTACTTTAAGTTTAAATCCTCAAATTCTCATAGCATAAAACATTTACTGCTCACAGAAAATATGTCAAAAAGAGGGCCCACACACAATAAACATAAAACTTCTAAATTCCCAAAAATGGGCAATATAGACATATCTCTATACCTGTTTTCATATAAAAGCATGTAAAAATCATTACAAAAACCAAATTTATCAACTGATATCCCCAAACTCAACATTAGGATTCCATGGCTAGTGCCCCTTTTGTGCAACTTTTTCTTATATGCAAACAAACTTGTTGCTTAATAAACTAGATGGATCTTGTAATTTTTGCTTGTAATTAGTTCTCCGTATTATACATATTATAAAGAACTTGAGAAGTAGCATAATTACACATCTCATGTTTCTCATTATCTGTTATATCTCAGAAGGGATTTCTAGATTTCTTCAAGTCAGAGTCTTTTCCTGATTACCCTACTCAATGCCCCCTTTACCTCTTTGTTCCTCAAAGTATAGATCAATGGATTTAGAACAGGAGTGACCACAGTGTACATGATAGCAACCATCCGGTCCTGGTCCATGGAGCTTCCTGAAGTAGGACTAATGTAAGTGAAGGCAGCAGGGCCATAAAAAAGAATAACTACCATAAAGTGTGATGCACAAGTGGACAGTGCCTTTTGAAGCATGCTGCAAGAACGGGTCTTGCAGATGAGATAGGTGATAATGTAGAAATAAGAGAGCAGTGTTAGACAGAATGGGCCCATGGCACTCGTTCCTGTGACAGTATTGAGTAGCCACTCGTTGAGCTCAATGTTCCCACAGGCCAGATCCAGCAATGGCTTAATGTCACAATAGAAATGATGAATATGATTAGAACCACAGAAGTTCAAACGAGAGGTCATTATAGACTCCATCAGGGCATGGGAAAAACCAACAATACAAATAGTGATAATCATCTTTATACAGAGTTGACGATTCATGATGACATTGTAATGAAGTGGTTTGCAGATAGCCACGAAACGGTCAAAGCCCATCACAGTCAATAACATGGCCTCTGTGCTCCCAAAGAAATGGAAGAAATGAAGTTGAGTTATACATCCATAGAAAGAAATTGCTTTGTGTGTAGAAAGTAAGTTCTCCAGTATTTTTGGCAGTGTCACTGTGGAATAGCAGATATCTAGACCAGAGAGATTTCCCAGGAAGAAATACATTGGTGAATGGAGTTTAGGATCAGAGGTGACAATCAGCAAGATGGCTCCATTCCCAATTACATTGACAAAGTAGATGATCAGCAAAACCACGAAGAGCAAAGGCTCCAGTGACTGGATGTCTGTCACTCCCAGAAGCATAAATTCAGTGACTGAAGTTCGATTCTGCATCACTTAAAGAAAAAGACAAATAATATATGGAAGTGTATTTCTAGTGGACATAATTCCATTCAACTCAATATTTTACCATCTAAACAAACAGTATGTTAAAGAAGGTTATTGCTTTTTTACATAGTCCCAAACTTAGTAATTGTATAGTATTGGAACCAGTAGACAGCTAAAGAAATTCATTATTTCTTTATTAGATTTTTATCAATACTTTCTTTCTCCAGGGATTCATAGCATGTGGTTAACCTAACATCTACCATCTTCTCTCACTATGAAGATCTGCATTCTGACACAAACTTTTCATCTTTGTAAATCAGTTCAAATAAGTAAATTTTTTTGATGAATATGAAATCATATTTTATTGTACTAACACAAATGCCTTAAGTGTTTTCACATTAAATTGTCAGTCATTTACATGTCTTTATAACATTGGGTTACATATTTGCTCCTCCACCTGCACACATTCATCAAAGGTCAAATTTTAAGTACTTCACACACTGCTATCTCTTGATATAGCATAAGCCATTTGAGAGGTTTTCACTTAAGAAAATAGACAAGGATGAGCTTATCAAAATCATAAAGTAGAGGTGATAATTTAGTGGCACTAGAATGCTGGCAGTGGGTGAGTGATGCTTATGCACTTCTTGAAGTGTCAAGCCATATTCCCCAAATTAAACAGTTTTATAAATGGATGGTGAATGAAAATTTGATTAAAAAGTAAAATGGCAGGGCCTCCCCTGGTGGCACAGGTGATTGAGTGCAGCGCTGTGAAGCTGTCTGCAGCCTCTGAAGTATGGGTTCTATCCCTGCTGGCCAGCGAGAATCCCACATGGCATGGCAGACCTCTCCTGTCGCGCCGGCTCCTCCCCTCAGCAGTGTATTTCAGTCAGTCTGCCTGTTCTGTTCCCGGCTCTGTCTCTGGTGAATCCTCTCACCCTCCCATGCATCTGGCCTGTACCCCCCGTTCCTGTATGCATGAATAAATAAATCTTTAAAAAAAGGTAAAATGGCAGTAATAATTTGTCCTCATAATGTAAGTGTGACTGAGCTGTCTCTTACTGATCCCTCCCTGACCCACATCTCTGGAAACTTAATGATGTCATACTGTGATAAGGAAAAAGACTACATCAATCAGATTTTAATCTATGATATATATGAATTTTTTTTACCCTGTAACTAATAATGGGTTGTCTTTCTATAGCATTAACACTTATATTTTCTCAAAATAAGATGCTTGATATGAGGTCAATTATATATTTAATGAAATATCTTTTCTTTCCCAATACATAATCTTTCCATGAGAATGTTACATGTACACTTGAGAAGAATGCATTCAGGTGTTTAGAAATGAAAAGATCTTTATATGCCTAACTCCATATGATTAGTCATTTCATTTAACATAATTATTTTCTTATTTTTTTTTGTCTGGGATTATATGTGTATATAAATATTAAGTACAATTATCTTCTTGCTGTATTGATCCCTTGATCATTAGATAATTTTTCTCTAGGTTCACTTATTAAAAACATGAAATCTTGTTTTTATGACAAAGTGGATGGAACTTTAGATGCCGGTGTTAAGTAAAACATGTCAGACAGTGATGATAAATACCAGATGGTTTTGCTGATGCAGAATACAAATAAACAAACAAAATAAAATACAACAAAGATGATTCTTAAATTCTGAGAACTGTGGTGGTGCCAAGGCATGAGACTGTATTCCTGAAACTGACAATGTTATAAACCAATGGGATGAAAATCAACAAACATTTTATTAAAAAATAAGTGCTTCTGGGCCTCCCCTAGTGGCGCAGCGGTTGAGCGCTGGGTTGCGAGACTTCCCGCAGCCTCTGCAGCACCAGTTTGATCCCTGGCCACCGGCGAGGGTCCCACAAAAAAATAAATAAATAAATAAAAATACGAATACCTTTAAAAAAAAAATAAGTGCTTCTAATTACATCTTTTATGACAAAATATAGTTGCTTCTAGTTACCATTTTTCCATTTTTTAGCTTTCCAAATTCAATTCTAAGCTATCACTCAGGTGGGTCCTGCAATTTCTCCTTACTTTGACAATAACGACCTTCAGGTTTTACCATAAAATATATAAAAGAAAATATAAGCAAAACTCTACATGACTTATACCTCAGTAACATCTTCAAAGACACATCACTCAAAGCAAAGAGAGTGAAGGAAAAGATGAAAAGCTGTGACTAAAAATTAAAGGGCTTCTATACAGCAAAAGAGACATTAACCAAAACAAAGAGACACCAAACTGATTGGGAGAAAATTTTTGCATGCAATACTAACGGTAAGGGACTACAAACATCTACAAAGAGCTGACAAACTCAACAAAAACAAAGTAAATAACCGGTCAAAAAATGGGTAGAAGAGCTAAAAAGACACTTCTTCAGAGAGGAAGTGGAAATGGCCAACAGGCATATGAAAAAATTTTCAACATCACTTGTAATCAGGGAAATGCAAATCAAAACCACAATGAGATATTATCTTATACCAGTGAGAATGGCACATATCAAAAAAACTAGCAACAACAAATGTTGGTGAAGGTGTGGAGAAAAAGGAACTCTCCTACACTGCTAGTGGAAATGCAAATTGGTCCAACCACTATGGAAAGATGTATGGAAGTCCCTCAAACTGCTAAAAATAGAGCTTCCATATGAGCTAGCAATTTCACTGCTAGGTATCTACCAAAAGGATGCAAAAAACATTAAATCAAAAGGAAACCTACACCCATATGTTTATTGTAGCACTATTTACAATAGGTAAGCTATGGAAACAACCCAAATGCCCAAAAATAGATGACTGGATCAAGAAGATGTGGTACATATACACAATGGAATATTACCCAGCAATCAAAAAAGATAAACACATGCCATTTGTAGCAACATGGTTGGAGCTGGAAGAGATCATGTTCAGTGAAATAAGCCAGAAAGAAAAAGAAAAATACCTGATGGTTTCACTTATAGGAAATATCCCAAACAAGGGATCAGGGAAAGAAAGTAATTATAATAAAGTGAAAATCAAAATCAAAACAGGCAACTATAAACCAGAGACATTCTGCATGGGGGGCGGAGGGAGTTGTATCAAAACAGAGGTGGGGAGAGCACAAGGGAACATGGTGATGGTACACAGGTGAATTGGTGGTGGAAATTCCATGGGGACTATACTAGAGATGATAAAGCATAAGTTGTATAAAAATGAAGAGTGATGTAAAAAATATAAAATAATAAAAAGAAAAAAGAAATATATATGGGTTTTAGTATCCATTCAATCTCTTCTTTTAGTACTGATATTTCTTAAATCCTACATCTGTTTTTCTTGCAATAAACTGACCTTCACGTATTCTACCTCTAATAGAATTTGCCTTCATTTCTGCTTTTGTTAATGTGACCCTGGAGGTCATGCTGTCTTTCAGAAGTCTACCTGCATTATGTCATTTTCCTCCATAGTGGTGAAGAATTTTAAGGTACTCTCATTTGAAAAAACATGTTTTTTACTCATATTTCCACAAAATAAAATATCTCTATTTTCTATTAAAGGCATTAATTTAATCTTATTTGCAGAATTGAAATAATTCTTTTTTAGATAATGTTAAAACTCTTGAAAATTGTTAATTAGTTTATTATAATAAGTTTTAATATTTGACAAAATTTGTTTACTGAAAGGCAGAAAAACCTTTGAATTGTTTTCACTCCATTATTTGCTAGGTATCTTACATTATTTACTTTAGGTACACTAACAAAATCAGACATTATTTTGTGAAACAATTTTCCATTTGTTCCATCCATTTATGGCTATAGCTCCTTTATACAGTGAGGGAAGATGCAAGGATGTGTGGAAACTTCCAAGAGTGGGAGACAATGAGAAAATAATAAGAACTTTAAGGAAATCTGAAGAAAGTTGGGGTACTCCTGTAAAAGGTGACCTATTCAAGGCTTGGTAAATTCCTGAGGGTAGAAGAAAATGGTTTACAGTGACTTCAAAAACAGTAAATTAACTAGGGTACAATTACGGGGGTCCCATGGGATTCTAGGCTGTATAGCTGGAGGAAATCTTGAGAAATTATCTTACTTCTCCTACACCTTCTTGAAGTGCTGACATTAAACATTTCAGAGTAGTTTTCTTGACAGTCAAATATATTCATATAACAATAGCCTTCCTAAGAGTAAAATTAGCACTCATTAACAGTACAAATGATATATCAACTATCATTTTTTTGTTCTGTGACCCATTACACAAAATTGAACAAGAAATTCATCTTGGAAAAAAGAAACTTCTTTTAACATTTGAAGAAAAATAGTAATCAGATTAATTTGTAGTAAATGATTCATTTAGCTAAAATTTCGATTTTTAGAGATTATACATTTCCTTTAAAAATGTCTAGACATCCAGCAATATTGAATTGAGGATGAAGTATGGCAATAAAAGCATAGGAAGAAAAGAGACTTCACAACCCCCACAGAATGAAGAGTCCATCATAAGATAAAAAACAGTTCTAAATCTGTGCATTTAGCTTTAATAGTAGTAAGTAAAAAGGAAATATTGGTAATTTCCGGATTGTCACTTTTTTTATCCTCTTACCTGAGTTTTGTGTTCAGGTTCACAGCTATAAAAGCTTTTCAGATTTATACTCTTAGTCATTAAAAATAGTAGAAAATTATTTCAAGTGATAGTTCACATTGGGGTTGCAAAATAGACTCTTCATCCTCAAAAGCTTTTTCCTCTCCTGAATTTCTTCCTTCCTTTTTATGATCTACAACTCTCTAGATATAAAAATCCTGAGAGAGAATTTCCCATGAGTGTTGAGGAGATTTGTGAAAATAAACAAGATATCTTTCATACCTGCAACATGAGGGCATTCCCTTTGTGAATTTCCGATCTTGAGTTCTTTTTTTCCCCACTGTATCAATTTCTTTCCTTATCACACTTTCTCCTTAGTTTCAGAATCATGAATAGTCAAATTCCTCATGGATTTTCATTTTCTCATCTTTGGTATTTCTATGGAAAATAATCTGATGTATAAAGTGGAAAAACATCTAACAAGGAAAATTAAGGATGGGGACTAATCACATCTCCTTAATCAGCAGAGAAAGTGATAATATTTAATATTATATCTATGTACTACTGCAGTTCTTTGGAAAACAAAGGGGGATAGAGATTTGTAGTATTCCTTTAGTCACTTTTATTATTATTATTATTATTATAATTATTTTAAGATTTATTTTTATTTATTCATGCATACAATAACAGGGGTGTAGGCCAGGGTGTGGGGGGTGAGGGAATTCACCAGAGACAGAGTGGGGAACAGAAAAGGTGAATCTACTGAAATACACTATTGAAGGGAGCAGCAGACACAATAGGAGAGGTCTACTGTGCCAATGTGGGGAAAAAGGAATGCTTTTATATTGCTGGTGAGAACACAAACTGGCCCAGCCACTATGAGAAACTATCATATGACCCAGCAATTCCACTCCTAGGAATCTACTCAGGGACACAAATACATGAATTCAAAACAAAACTTTTCCCTAACATTCATTGCAGCACTATTTACAATAGCTAATATATGAAAACAACTTAAATGCCCCAAAACAGATAACTGTATCAAGAAGATGTGGTATATATGCACAATGAAATACTACTCAGCAGTCAAAAAAGATAAACTCATGCCATTCACAGCAACATGGATGGAGCTAGAAAGGATTATGCTTAATGAAGTAAGTCAGAAGAAAAAGAAAAATATCAGATGGTTTCACTAGAAGAGGATCATGGGGAAATCATGCAAGGGATCAGAAAAAAAAAAGTCAAAACTAGCAGGCAACTATAAATCAGAGACATTCAGCAGGGGAGGGAGAGGAATCAAAATGGGAGGGAAGAGCACAAGAGTCTCTCTGGTGATGGTTCCCAGGTGTCTTGATGGTGGGCATTTTATGTTAACACCTGAGAGGAGAAATTAAACATTCCACAAAAATGAAAAAATGATGTAAAAATATATAAATAAAAATGAAAAAAATATTTAATATGAAAAAATAATTTCTGCAACTTGGAAAAATAAATGCAACCCCAAGCCCAACTTCCCAGAGATAGTCATTATTAGTTTCATGGTCCCTATTCCATAAGGCCTCTTCCAGTATATGTGTCCTTCCTAAGACTATAAGCCCATGGATTATTTTGAATTCTTCCATCCCTGCTTTGTCTCAAAAATCTATGGATTACTCTTATGGAAGATAAAGGAAACCATAAGCCCAAAGATGCCATCCATATTGCTTACACAGCACGTGACAGGATATTGACTTATAATGTTGTCATTTAATCAGTAGATCTTATAAGTCTGGAATTATTATCTTCACTTTTCTGCATATGAAACAACATGCATATGATTCATATGACTTGACAAAACCCAACCAGCATGTAATTGGTTGAACTGTTTTTCAAGCTCATATATGTCTGGCTCAAAAGCCTATGCTCTGTCCACACTTTATGGTGAGTTATATCTTCTTGTCTCTTTGAAAAATGGGAATCCTAGAGGATTAACTCTAGGATATGGCAAGGAAGGGAGGGTGAATATGACTCAGGGTGTGTAGGGAGGGTAATGAAGTGTATGTCTTATGGTGCAGCATTAAGTGAAGGAATTTTGGGGAGCAGCACTTCCTGCAGAAGAGCCTTGATATCCTTCCTTCCCTGGCCTTGCGTGTGGACAAGCAAGAGCTTGAGGTTTTGACATTTGAACATCTTGAGGCAAAATCAGGATGGGAGAAGTAAAGAAATATTCAGTGGTGTGAGGAATATTTAGCTCCAATTGCTGCAGTGACTCCATATTTTCTCATTGAAACAATTCTTTGCGAGACCATTCACTCTCAGACTGTAGCTGACTGTCTTTGAAGATACTGGTCTAGGAGTTGATCTGTTGGTAAGTTCACCAGATTTAGGATGTGCAGTCTCATCAACTTAAGAGAGGGTGATTGTGAGCCCTCTGTCCAACACTGGAGGAATTCTGCCAGCTCAAGAAAATACAGTCTTCAGCATAGTCAAGGTGATTACCTGCCTGTCACTGAAAGCAGGAACATGGTAGAGGACAAGACTGTGCTAGACCAGCAGGGGAGAGAAGTACCTTTCCTCAAAGATCATGACTTCAAAATTTTTTAAAAAGGTTTATTTATTCATGCATATAAGAACTGGGGTACAGGCCAGATGCGTGGAAGGGTGACAGGATTCACTAGAGACAGAATGGGGAACAGAACAGGCAGACTGACTGAAATACAATGCTGAGGGGAGCAGTGGGCGAGATTTGAGAGGTCTGCCATGCCATGTGGGTATCTCAGCGGTCAGCTGGAATTGAACCTGCACTGCAGAGGCTGCAGACAGCTTCATGGCTCTGCACTCAATGACCTGCACCACCAGGGAGGCCCATGACTTGAAAATTTCACAGTAATACAGTTTCAAATGTTTGGTGATTATGTTTCCCTAACCATTTAAAATGCAACTAGAGTTCAGAAAGTTAGTGGCGCCTCTTTTTCACTTCCTTCACTGAAGCTGGAATGATTTCAGAGCCATTTAAGCCTGAAATTACATAGCCTCACATATTCAATTACTGGAACCCTGAGCCCATATATCTTTGGAAGGGGTGCTTACAATAGGGGCCTCTCCTTGCAACACTTAAGACATTCCAGAGATAAAAGGGTTAAAATCAATTGCCTCCAACTTGAACCAGGGAGTGAAATGACTGAAGTTCATGGTCCTTAAACAGTATCTAAGTTCCACTGAACCATCACATATAACCATTCCAAAAAGTCCAGTATAGGTTCTGTGAGAGAACTGCCAATCCAGAGGCCTTTAAACATTTTCCCAAATAGAGTCCATACATAACCTGTAAGGTGTCAGGTACACATCTCCAAGGTTCACTATGTTCAACTATTATCTTCCAAAGTTTATAGACTGGAAATTTGAATCCTCTCTGCAATGCACAGGAAGGACAATATCTTCAGCACCACAGAGGCAGGGAGTGCTAAGATGGTTCTCAAACTTTGTTTGCTCTCTGCCCATTGCATGCATGTTTTGGGTTGAAGAATTTGATTATTTTTCTTTATAAGGTGAGTTGAGAAAGAACTAAAGAGTTTATTTTTTGTTTTTTTATTATTGTTATTATTTTTTAAATTTTAAATATTTTTTTATATCATTTTTCATTTTTGCACAATGTATGCATTTTCATCTTGGTTATAGTCCCCATACAATTCCCACCCCCCCTTGTTTTGATCATACTCCCTCTTTGAATACCTGGGGGGTGATAGTAGGATTCTAGTTAGTGTCTACACTTACTTTCTCTCTGAGTCACTCATCAGGGAGGACAGAGGTTTCAGTCAGCTCTGAAGGTGGTAGGTGGATCAGATGGCAGCAATTGTGGTAGGACAGTCAGAATGGAGGTTTAGCCACTTGTGTGAATATGTGGGGTGGGGATTGTGGGTTACTCTGTGTTTTTGAAACCATAGGTTTCCCACCTCTCTGTGGTTCCAGACCAGACTCTATGCTCTGTGCGCTTTCAGTACACGCACAAAGTCAGTATCAATAAGCCCAGTGTATTGTCTTCATTCTTTTCACTGGGCACCCAGCTTGTGGACAGCACCCAAACTCCTCAGTTATTTCTCCTCAGTCAAGGGTGTGCGCTTCCTCAATGTATAGTTCTCCTCTCCCCAGGGTGGCTGGCTGTGTGGTAGCACTGAGTAAGGTAATCTCCTGGCCCTAACTACAGTCTGTAGGTGTTTCCATCTCTCCTGATACAGTTTGTGCAGGACTCCGATGTGTCCAATTTCATCCCAAGGTAAGAAACTCCCTGGGGGTAGTGCCTGTCTGTTTAACTTAGATGATCATTTCTGTAGCAAATCAGGAAGTTCCAATGATGCTGCCTTGGTTCTGTTTCCTTTCTTCTTGAGCAATGATCAGAACTTGCCATGCCTTTGTTTTCTCATAGGTTTGAGTGAATGCATGTTATTATAGGAATTTGGATTCTGTTATCTTATTCTGAAAAATATAGGTTTTTGCAGTAGAAGGCATTTAAATTTCAGAGGAATCATCTTGAGCTTTGAATGGCTTCATTGTATCTTTGCTATTATGGATCTATGACAAATCCAGGGTTTTTGCAAGCCCTACTTTGGCACAGTCCTTTCCAGTTTTTGTCTTTTCTGTGGACATTGTTGGTATTGGTTTTATATTTTGTTAGGCCAGGCTCTGGGCATATGTCACTCAAAGATGTGGAATTAGCTCTAAAATCTTAGTTTTTCAGTGTCTCAGCTGGATGCAGTGATATTATGGTGGTGTTAATGAAATTTCCCCAATTCAGCATGGTCAGAACTGCACATTGTCCTCTTCCATGTGCCCTACTTTTACTACCAGTGTGGTTTTCATTTTTATTAGTTTTTGTCCTTGGTAAATATCAAGTAATGTTCCCTTTTACTTTAACAATCTGCCTATTAGTCACATCCACAGACTTCCCATTCAAATGTACGTGTGGGTCCCGACCTGCAGCTCCCTCCTTTCTAATGCCCCTTACACCAGATTCCATCTGCTTCATCTGCTCCAAATTAGCTCGTTATTTTTTCTCAAATAAGTGAAACTGCCCATGTTCCCCCCATTCCCCCATGAACTTCATTTCTTTGGGTGAATTATTATCTGCCAATAATAATTATTTTCAAAATAATTACTGAACATACACTATGAGAAGACACTAAGTTAAATATGTGAAGAAAGTATAACTCTATATGATCCAGGAAGAAAATCTGGGCTGAGAATTGGTTAGATGCAGATGATGAACAAAGAATCTAGTCTGAAAATCTCAGGGTTACTCTTGTTAGCAAGGGCCCTACTAACCATTGGAATGAGAGCTGTTTTCCTAAATAAGATTACTCATCAGGTGTTTGATTATACCCTCCAACGCATAGTGTATAATAACATGAAATGTAGGGAGTGGCACAAAGAAACATAATGAATATACTGTGTCTTGACACTGCTGTGCATAGTATAATTAGGGACAAACTGGACAAAGAATGACTGAACTAGTCAAAGTGCATTGTTTTTACAATACAGTGTAATGAATCCTTTTTCCTAATCACTCTTTAAGGGTATATATATGTGAAAGAAGAATCTATTCTTTGAAAGATGCATAGATCACTATTTTTGCAGAACAAATGTTATAAATAAAACTTAAATAGGAATTTTTTTATCTTATTAAGAAAATCAAGACATCTATTGTTGTTTATCTGTCAATCTTCAGCCATGACTACTAAATATATGCAGACATTCTTGAATATAACACAAACCCACAAAAAAAATGAGTGTTAAAGTAAAGAGGAGGAACCACATAGAGCAGGTTCCTACTCTCTTACCAGTGATATTGGTACTGGTGGCATTGATGGGGACAGTAGAAAAGATGGCAAGTTGTGTGGTGACACTGATGACAACAGAGGTGGTATTGACTATATGTAAGGTTGATTAGGCCACAAATAGAAATGGAAATGGTGATCATAATGGTAGAAGAGATGGCAATGGTTGATCAAGTTTCAATGATATCAGTGTTAGAAGATAATTTAAAGAACAGCTAATCCAGACATCCTTAGGTTAGTGTGTGTACACACACACACACACACACACATATCAATATATATATATACACCAATTTGTGAATACAAGCATTTTTTTCCTTCCACTAGTCACTGAATAGCAGTGGATAGCACAGAACAACAACATATCAAGGAGTGTGTGTGCATATATATCATTCACATCTCTCTCTGTGTGTATTTATATAGATATATCTAAGGATGCATTGAATTTATCTCTTCTTTAAATTTCCTCCTAATACTCATAACACTAATAATAATTTTATTGGAATTTGATCATCTCTTGCCATCACTACAACCATTTTGATCATTTTTGCCATTTTTATCAGTAGTTTAATCATCATTCTTTATAGATCATATATGTGATATATCTCATATAAGTTATTATCATAAGTTCTTATATATGATTTATGTATATATCTCATATATACGAGGCTGAGTGGGTCTAAGAATCTTGTTTGCCTGATCTATTTCTATATTTCAATGTAGTGGTGAGTGATTTTTCCCAAAGTGCATGTTTATGAGGATTATTCTTTTTTGAAGAAAAGCTTTATGTCACTATAAAGAATTAGATCAAGTAGCAAAATTATATGGGCAAACATAACTCATGGTCATTACTACAGAATCAATCAATGTAATCAAAAATTACTTTTATGACAATGACATAATGACAACAAACAGGTAATTTATGACAAGTATTTTGTAGACAAATTGTTTTTCCTTTGCATACAAAATACACTGCAGAATTCTCAAGAAAATACATGACTATATATGGACTATCTGTTAGGGAAGAGGACAATCAGGTTCCCTTCAGGTTTAGTTTATACTCTAATTTCTAATGGTAATCTCTTCTGAATTATTCAGTTTATCCTGAAATACACAAGATAGTTTACTGTATAGTGAAATGTTAAAAACTAATTGGATAATTTACATTACAGTATGGAAATTATAACTACAATGCATTTGTTTGATAATTTCAGTACTAAAAATATAAATGTCAGCAATTGAGATTTTTCAGAGATATACTTAATATATAACAAACATTTTTAAAGTCAGAAAATTATCATTTTTTTCATATTTTTCTATACTTTCTTATTCAGTGTACCATAATATCTTAAATAATAATTCCAAAATAACTGATGTTTCTTCTCAAATAAAAGTTGCCTTGACATACTGATCAATTGTTGGTACTTGTTTATGTCTGAATGTATTTTTTGTCTCTACATTTACACCCATAAGCAGACACAATAAAATCATAGATTATAGTACAAAGAAACTTTATGTGAAATTGTTCTTCTTGTTTATATGTAAACCTTCATTACAGTTATGATTAGGAGCTTGAAGGGAAGAGAAATACTATAAAGATAAAGAAAGGTAGAATTCTAATTTACAATTTTACACTAAGAGCCACTGTATTGTATTACTTTACACTATGGTTACTGTGTTGCATCACAGAATGTTGCAGAAACCCCAAGAGAATTTTTTTCCTGATCACAATTTTACATGAGGGAACTGAATTTCTGAGTGATCAAATAACATGAACAAGGTCACATAATTAAGTGATATAGAAAAAGTGAGGAGGGAATCAGAAAATGATATAAGAAGCATGACAAGAAAGTCAAAGCCATGGTGGTAAACAACAGGGAAGCAAGTTAGAAGATCTAATAAGGTTTTTTAAACCTGATATTTGATGGAGGACCATAAGTGCCTTGGTGGTGGGTATGGTGAGGTAACATATATCTAAAAAGGTGGGATCCTATATTTCTGAATCATACAATGTTGTAGACCAATTTTACCTTAATATAAAATATTAAACATTAAAAAGAAGACTGAATAGTAACAAAAAAGAAGAAAAAATTAAGCAGCCTGACTCATTCATTTAATGACTTTGAAGAATAAGATCATCTGATTGTGATATCAGACTACCACATTGCAGAGTTCCTTCTGAAGACTTAATTTCCACCACTCACGGACAAATGAACTTTGGAACCAATCCAAAAGTGTCACCACAACAGGCCCAACCTTGGACAAAAACTTCCCTATATCCTGATCCTGTTGTTACATGCTGGGATTCCCCTTGACTGTATGCCCCAAGAATATATAGAAGTCTTCCTGATTAAAAAAATATCTAATTCATTGGCAAAATGTCATCAAAAGGAAAGTGCCTACAACTTTCCCAGTGCTAACTTCAAATCAAGCAGTTCTGGATGGTATACACTAATAAAAAGAAAACTTGATTAGTTGGTTTGGTTCTGCACTTATCGATGCAGTCTCCAATTTTTACTCATTTTAACATGTCTGGCACTGTTCTATGTTCTTAAATAATAATTCATTTTTAACCCATGGAGATGATATCTAATCTCAAGAACTCTCTATGCCCAAAACCCTCTTCAGAGAACTCTTCACATCTTTATTTCTCAGACTATAAATGAAAGGGTTGAGAGTGGGTGTCACCAGGGTGTACATGGCAGATGCAACAAGCTCACCTGTTGAGTGAGAATTTGATGGGGGTTTCAGGTAGGTGGCAAAAACTGTAGTATAGAATAGGATGACCATGGAGAGATGGGAGCTGCATGTAGCCAGGGCTTTCTTTTTCCCCTGTTTTGATGGGACCCTGGCTACCGCCAGGAAAATATGAGCATAAGAACTTGTGATGCAAAGGAGAGGACTGATTCCTAAAAACCCTGCCAGAATCATCACCAGTTCTTCATTAAGAAGGGTATCAGAACAAGAAAGTTGAAAAAGTGGACCAAAGTCACAGAAAAAGTGGGGAATCTCTTGGTTAGTATAGAAATACAACTTAGATAGCAATAGTATATGGATCAGAGAGACAGAGTGAGCCACTCCCCATGAACAGCCCACCAGCAGTATGCATCTGCATGGAGTCATTAGCAGTGAATAGTGCAGTGGATGACAGATGGCAGCATAGCGGTCAATAGCCATGGCAGTCAAAAGCAGATTGTCCATATCAGCAAAAACAGCGAAGAAATATAATTGGGTCAGACATCTAGAGAAAGAGATGAATCCATTGCTGGTCCACAGATTCTCCAGCATTTGGGGGGCTGTGGTGGTGGTGAAGCAAAGATCCACCAGGGAGAGCTGACTGAGGAAAAAGTACATGGGCGTGTGGAGGTGGACGTCAAAAGCAATAGTAATCAGAAGAAGCAAGTTCCCTAGGAGGCACAGCAAATAGATAGCCAGGAAGAGGCCAAACAGGAACTTCCCTTTTTCTGGGTCACTGGACAGCCCCAAGAAGACAAAGTCAGGTGTCTTGCTGCAGTTCATGTTGGATCTTTGTGTGCTGTAAGAAAGAAATGAGCAGAAGGATGAGTCCTTCACTATCATACTGATGTAGATAGTGTCTTGGATCTCACCTCTTGGTACTGAGTTTGCCTTATCCTAAGCAATGTGAGGAATGAATAAAAGGAAGTAAAATGGCAATGGGATTTTATAGAGAGGATGGTCTAAGTGAGACAGCACAGAGGTGGTGGAATGAAGGGTATGAGAGTAGCTTCCTGGAGTTGTTTAGGTGTATCAGTTTTTTTAATTAAAAATTTGTGTTGTTGGATGGTATCATTGTTTAGAAATATGTTTTAACTACAAGGGTCTGTGTTTTTTTTAATGCAGTGGCTGCATCTTAGTACTCAGCTTAGTGTGTGGCACACAGTGGCAGCTCAATAAATGCTCTTACCCATCTGCACAATCACTACTCTAGTTCAGGTTTGTTGATGGTCGGAGTACTCTTACCCTTCTAACTGGTTTAATATGCCCCCTCGTGCCCATCCAATATGTTCACCACACTGCCAACAGAGCAATTGTCTCAAAAAAGAAAGCTAGTTGTCTTTCTTATTTGTTTAAAAATAGGTCTCTGGAGAATGTTTGGTCTTGTAAAAACACAAAAATCTCTACCATGTCTAAGAAGGCTCAATGTGTTTTGATATAAAAGTGTCTCAGCGGCTCATCTTACACCACAATCCACTCATTTACTGCTCCTTGGCCACATTCCCTCATACGAGTCATATTTCTTTCATTCACTTTAGTCACTTCTTTTCATCTTCCAACCTCAGATCAACTAGTAACTTTCTTTTTTTTTAAATTTTTTTAATATTATATAGTATTTATTTATTTTTTTTACTTTAATCTACAATTTATTTATTTATTTATTTTTTAAAAATAAAATTTTTTATATTCCCCATACAATTGCAACCCCCTTATTTTGACCCCAATCCCTCCCCTCCCCGCCCCCCATCCCCCATAGAGTGTCTCTGGTTCATAGTTTTTTGTTGATTTTGATTTTCACTTTCTTATAGTTATTCATTTTCCTGGTCCCTTATTAAGTTTTCTAGATTCCTGGTATGAGTGAGACCATCCGGTATTTTTCTTTTTCTTTCTGGCTTATTTCGCTGAGCATGATCCCTTCCAGCTCCATCCATGCAACTAGTAACTTTCTTAAGGGTGTTTTCCTTGTCTCTTTTATATGCTATCTTAGACCATCATAGGATTTCTATAGTTGTAACACAGATAATATAATTAATCTTATTTTGATTACTTATTTATTTTAATATATTTATTTAATGTTAGAATTCCTTAAAAAGTCATAAGGTACATTATGGCAGAAATTGTATCTAGCTTTCCTCTCCATTAAATTCCTAGTGTTTGGAAACAAAGAATGGTAAATACAAAAAATTCTATATTATGAAAAAATAAAGATGTTTAAAAACAAAAATAAATAAATAAAATTAGTGATGGCATAAAAAAAGAAGAGTAAATGTTCACAATGTAGACTGAAGGCACAAGAGGGCAGTATATTGCTCTCCTTTTCAACATTTTACGAATAAAAATTTATTCTTACAAATAGTCTCCTACTGATATGAGTTGAAAACATTGATTTATCCATTTCGTTCTTCCTTCAAATTTGTGATATAATACTTTTTTTCCCTACAATATGGTCTTCATATCAGTGTCTTTCCACATTTACCTTATTTGGATTTTTTTTTCTCAACTAGCACCCAGATTATTTTATTAACTTCTTTCTACTTATAATGATTCATGTTGCAAGCAATTTCAGTAATTGTACAACTTTCTGCTTTTGACCTGACTTTCCCTTGCTCAAATACCCCTAACATCATGTTTCCTATTGCACTATTTACACCCATATGTGTCTGGCTATCAAAAATATCTACACCTGGAACATGCTGTCTAAAAAACATGATTTCCCACTACTCACTAGCATTCAATCCCCTCTCTCCTTTGATCACTTTATAGTTACAAGATTATGTTAATTTCTGCTCTTACTACATTAACCCCCAGTCCTTTTCTATCCAGATGTCTTTACTTCCTCACTTAAATACTAGCAGGCGAAGTCTCAGTTAAATTTTTACTCTCTTCACAACCATATTTTCTCAAGTATTCTATCCCTTATTTTATAGATATTTTATGAAATATATATGTGTAGAATGATCCTTAAGATTATTGACTGAAGTTGTTTTTAAAAAAATAATATAAAGTTTTTCTCTTATTAATTATTCTATACTTATCTCGAGAGTAGGAATCATGTTCTCTATTTAAAAGTTCTTTATAGCACTGACCAAAGAGTGGAGCACTGGGTCTGGCCCAAGGATTACTATTTAATGGCTATTCTCAAATAATAGGACACATTTTTCTCTTCTTTTCAATTTATTTATTAACTGTGAATAAACTCCCTGTTTCTAATAATTTTTAAATGTTCCCATGGGTACCTGACTTACGATAAAAGGGAAAATTATTTCCTCATTTTGCAGAACATTTTTGAATACTTGAGAACAGAGTTTCTTAAATTTTTAATATGCTTAAGGATTAGTGGGGCACAATAATTTTCATTTACAGCATGCAGTAACTTTAGCTGATGCTGACACTTACTGTTTGCCGAAGAGAAATCAAAAGATAGTGCATCCTATCAACCATACTGCTATCTATTTTTATTTCTAACTTTTTTCACTTGGAAACTGTAAGATTCCCCGACAACAAGGTTAATGCTTCTGTTATTCCTTTATCTTTTCAGAACAAGACTTCCTTCAGCTCCTATGTGGTCATACCTCTCACTTTCTCACGTTTTCTCCTGGTTGGATCTTTTTGATGATTTTGCTTGAATAACCTCACAGTTTTATATTCACCTCCTGGAAGTTTACCTGGAAAATAAAGATTATGTAGTATCTCAAATAAGGTCTGGCAAATATCTGAGGTTAGATAATATTTCAGCATGACAGTATATAAGGACCTAACAACCTAAAGTTTCTGACTCAGGTGGATAATATTCTAATATCCTAATGGGTCTTCACAGTCTTCAGCCACTTCCCCACTACTCTGCCTTTGTGACAAATCCTTCAAAAAGTTTATTGTCTCTATCACTTATTGTCCATTCATGGCTCTCCAAAGTCATTGCTTCACCTTCTGGCTCCTTTAAATCTTCTTCAATCAAGTTTTGGCCCTTATAGTTCTGCTGAAGTCACTTTTTGATGTCAAAGTTCAACTTTTATGCTTTACGCTACTTGACTACTTTTTAATATGTTAAGTTCTTTTCTTATTGAAGCAACATTAGTTTGCAACTCTGTATATAATTCAGAAGTATAGTTTCATACCACTTCAGATATATGTTGCTATACCACACCCACCACCCATAGTCCTCTTATTACTACAAAGTAGTTGATTCCTTTTTAAAAAAAATCTTTTTAAAAAAAAATCCTTGTTTGTTTTTTCACAATATAGGATTTATCCTCTCAGATGTGGTCACCATGCTTTTCCCATCACCAAAGTACCCACAGTCCTCCACCACACTCCACTGTATTCTTCTCCCCATCTCTAATCTCCCTTCACCTCTCCTCCCTTCATGACTGTCTCAGATCTTCAGTGTATTTCTAAGGATCGATCTTACAGTTTGACTTTGATCCTTTGTCAAATATTTTCTTTCCCTTGCTTTCAGAATACCAACCACATGTTCTTGGGTTCCTAGGGGTTTCATTGGAGACTCATTTTTGGTTTCCTTGGCTCATTTCTCCTCTTCTTATTATTGAACTTTGGACTTCTCTATATTCTAGTTCAGTGTTTGAAATGTCTATAAAAACATAGCTTTTAATTATATCTTTAAGCTTATAATTCAACAAAAACAAAGTAAACAATCCAGTAAAAAAATCAGGCAAAAGAGCTAAAAATATAATTTTCCAAAGAGGAAAAAATTGCTCAACATCACTTGTCATCAAGGAATTGTAAATCAAAACCACAATGAGATACCACATCATAGCAGTGAAAATGGCCCGTATTAATAAAACTGGCAACAACAAATGATGGCAAGGATGTGGAGAAAAAGGAACCCTCTTACACTGCTGGTGGGAGTGCAAACTGGTCCAACCACTGTGGAAAGCTATGTGGAAGATTCTTAAAACACTAAAAGTGGATGTATCATATAATCCAGCAATTCCACTCATGGGGAAATCACTAATTTGAAGGGAATCTTGCACTTCCCACTGCTCATTGCAACACTATTTACAATAGCTAAGATATGGAAACAACCAAAATGACCCAAAACAGATGACTGGATCAAGAACATGTGGAATATATACTCAATGGAATACATTCAACAATCAAAAAAGATAAACTCATGCTATTTGCAGCAACATGGCATGGATGGAGCTGGGAGGGATTATGCTTAGTGAAATAACTCAGAAGGAAAAAGAAAAAAATATCGGATGGTTTCACTTTTAGGAGGAATGTATAGAAACTGAACAAGGGGTCAGAAAAAAAGACAGAACTAGCAGGCAAACTATAAATATGAGACATGCAGCAGAGGAAGGGAGGAGTCAAAACAGGGGAGGGAATAGAACAAGAGACTATGATGATGGTTAATGGGTGATATGGTGGTGGGAATTTTATGGGATGACACCCAAGAGGAGAAATCAAACATTGTACAAAAGTGAACAACAATGTTAAAAAAATAAATTTAAAAAGTATATCTTTAATTCCATATTTAAAGATATATATTTAGCTTCTGCTAGATATATCTATTAGCAGTTTTACATGTAAATTACTTCTTACAACTGGACTGATTTACATACTGTTTTGGAAACAGAGAACTAACTTCCAACTCCCCCCATTTCCCACCCCCCAGTGCAATACTTCCATCCCCTATGATCCACTCTAAAATCCAAGCCCATTATGGATGCATCAAATTCACACTTACTTCCTGGATTTCCTCATTTCTACCCCATCAATATGACCTTAGAAATACTTACTCTACCTAATGATCCTCTTGAGCAGGAGGGAGCCTTCAGAAAATTTAAACCTTGCACCTACATTGATGAAACCATGTCCAAAGGCAGAGAAGTTGTCTGGAAGCAAAGCATTATCAGTCTTCATATCTCTTGAGGCCAGGAAGGATTTGCTTGCTTTAGAAATCTTTGCTGGCCTTGGAGACTCAGTTCCCAGAGTTATTCATTAGTGTCAAATCTGGATGTGTTTTCCATTGAGAAAAAAATTGAAAATGGCATTGCAAAATAAAATCAACAATCAGACAGAAGTGTAATGTTAACATTGAATTGGAAATGAGATAAGAAAGATTACTTAAAACTCATAACCTCTCTAGCTACTGCTCTGTCTCCTTAAGCCAGAATAGCCTAAAATGGTAGATAATCTCCATTTATTGAAACTTTCTCACTAGGAACTACGGATATTGATATATATATTTTTGAGTAACTCTCTTTTAAATAACTACATATAGAAATATGCAGGCAGTGCGTACGCCATATATTTTTGGATATCTGACAGGTATCTCAATTTTTATTCTATTCAAAAGAGAAATTTTGTTTCAATCTCTTCATTCCTCCGTAGTTCTGTTTTTCTTTGTAATCATGTTACTTCATTTAGAAATGTTACTATAAATATTCTCAAATTAAAGTACATATACATTGAGTGAAAAGTTAATATTGTGTCATATTAATTTTTTCTCATTCTTTTTTTATTTTATTGAATTTATTTATTTATCTTCTTTCATCGTTGTTCATTTTTGAACTATATTTGATTTGTCCCTTCTGGTGTAGCCTCCACTACCATAGCAACTGTGATCCATCACCATAGTCCCTTGTGGTCTTCTATCTCCTATTTTTGACCCTCTCTTCCCTTCCCTTGCTGTATGTCTTAAATCTATGCAAGTTTTGTCTTTTTCCTGAACCTTTGTTTGGTTTCTCTATATTCCAAATATAAATGAAACCATCTGGTAATTATCTTTTCCTTCTGAATTCTTTTGCTTAGAATAAACACTTGCAGTTCCATTCATGTTGCTGCAAATGGCATGGCTTTATCGTTTTTGATCTCTGAGTAGTACTCCACTGTGTATATAAACTAAGTCTTTATTTATCTGTTTTGGGACATTTGGGTTGTGTCTGTATCTTAGCTATTTTAAATAGTACTGCAACAAATATAGGAGTGCAAGTTTCCTTTTGAATTAGTGTTTTGGTGTTCTTTGTGTAGAGTCCTAGGAATGGAAATATTAGATTATATAGTAGATCCATTTTTAGTGTTTTGAGGAAACTCCACACAGCTTTCCAGAGTGGCTGAACTACTTTACATTCCCACAAGCAGTGAAAGAGGCTTTCTTTTTCACTTCATCCTAGCCAGCAATTTCTGTTTCCAGTTTTTTTTTTTTTTATAATACAGATTATTCTCACAGGTATGAGATGGTATCTTATTGTGATTTTCATTTACTTACCCTGATAATAAGTGATATTGAACATTTTTTCATTCTCCTGTTGGCCATTTGCATTTCTCCTCTATAGAAGTATCTTTTTAGCTCTTCTGTTTATTTTTTTGACTGGGTTGTATGCTATGTATGTATGAGTTGTGTGCGCTCTTTGTAGATTTTTGATATCAGTCATTTATCTGTCATATAATGTGAAAATATTTTCTCCCATTCAGTAGGATGTTTCTTTGTTTAGGTTACTGTCTCTTTTGCTGTACAGAAGATTTTTAGTTTAATGTAGTCTCAGCTATTTATCTTCTCCTTCATTTTCTTTGCTTCTGGAGATGAGTCCTTAAAAATGTTTCTGAGATTTATGTCATGAAGTGTTTTCCCTGTTTTCTTTTATATATGTATGGTTTTAGGTCTTATATTGAAATCTTTTCCATTTTGAGTTTTTTTTTTTTTTTGTGTGTGTGTGTATGATATGAGATAGTCTAGTTTCATTCTTTTGCATATGGCAGTTCAGTTTTTCAGAATCAGTTTTCCGTGTATATGTTTGCTCCATTGTCATAGATTAGTTGACCACATATTGGTGATTTTACTGCTGGGCTTTCAATTTGATTCCATCAGTCTGTGTGTCTGTTTTTATTATTATGTTATGTAGTATAGTTTGAATTTGGGAGTGTAAGACCTCCATTTTCTCCCATTTTCATCAGGATAGCTTTGGCTGTTCAGGTTTTTTTGTGATTCCATATGAATTTCAGCAATATTTGTTCCATTTATTTGATGAATACCATTGAGATTTTTATTGGAATTGCACTGAATCTGTAGATTCCTTCTGATAACATCATCATTTTGATAGTGTTAATTCTTCCAACCATGAGCAGGGAATGTTTTTTCTATTTCTTTATGTCTTCTATTTCTTTTAGCAGTGTTTTATAATTTTTCTTTTGTAGGTTTTCACCTTCTTTGTTAGGTTTATTCTCAGGTATTAAATTTTTTTGGTACAATTATAAATGGGATGGTTTTCTTAATTTCTTCTTCAGATTGATTGTTTGCATATAGGAATGTTACTGATTTTTTTGTGTATTGATTTTGTAACTGATACATTACTAAACTGGTTTTGATTAGTTTTTCTGTGAATTTTTATGGAGTCTCTCTAAATATTATATCATCTGCAAATAATGATAGTTTTATTTCTTCTTTTCCAATTTGGATTCCTTTTGTTTTTCTCTTGCCTAATTGCTCTAATTAGGACTTTCAGTACTTTATTCAAAAGCAGTGGTGAGAGTGGATATCCTTATCTTTTTTTCAGATTTTTTTTTAAAGATTTATTTATTTATTTATTTATACAAGCACTGGGTACAGACAGAAGCACGGGAGGGTGAGAGAATTCACCAGAGCCAGAATGGGGAACAGAACAGACAGACCGATGAAATACACTACTGAGAGGAGCAGCGGGCACAGCAGAAGAGGTCTGCGCACCATGTGGGACCCTCGCCCAGTGGCCGGGGATCGAACCGGCGCTGATAAAGCTGCGTGCAGCTTCGCAATCCAGCGCTCAACCGCTGTGCCACTGGGAGGTCCTCTTTTTTTCAGATCTTAATGGGAAGGTTTTTAGTCTTTCGCCATTAAGAATGATGTTAGCTGTGGGTTTGTCATAGTGGCTTTTATTTTGTTTAGATAGGTCTCTTTTATCCAAATTTTTTGAGGGTTTGCAACATAAATGGATGTTGAACTTTATCAAAGTTTTTTTCTTTTTAACTTGGTTCTTTTTCCCTACATCTTCAGGATTACTGATTCATTCTTCCACTTTATTATATATCCATGGATTTCTGCAGAATTTGTTTACCTTCTCCATTGATATTTTCATATCCTGCAGGTCTTTTATTTTCTTATTCAGGGTTTCAATTTCTATCTCCTGTTCATGGAGACCATTCCTTTTCTGTTTTCTCATGTACCTGTTTATCTGTTTTCTGAGTTTTCTTGTATTTTTAAAATTCTTTGATTTTCTTAATTATGACAATCATGAATGCTTTATCTGAGAAGAAGAAAACATTTTTAGTGTCAATATTGCTAGGTTCTAAGGACTGGTTTTCTTTTTGTGGTGTATTGTTCCCCTGAGGACTTGCCTGACCATTCGTATTTTTCTTTCACCCCATTGTTTGCTTTGGGTTTGCTCTGATATAGATGGGGCATGAGTCTCAGGCTTCCTCTCCTAGTATTCTGGGTGCTTACCTCTTAGTGAGTACAGTAACTGGTGCCTTCCTTAAAGCAGACACTACCATGTGACTAGTGGTTGGGCTCTGGGATGGGTGGTGCGTGGTATCTCCAGAAGGATTCGCTGGCATGGGTCCAGGCATATAGTGTGTTGGATCCAGCTAGGGTACTGTGTGGCCTTGTAGATGGGACCAGCTGAGGGCTCCCTGGCACAGGTCTGGGTGAACAATGTGTTGGTAGGTCTAGTTGGGGTGTCTGGGTGGGCCATTATTCTCAACTATTTTTATTTATTTATTTATCTATCTATCCATTTATTTATTTATTTATTAAAAGATTTATTTATTTATTTATACAAGCACTGGGTACAGTCAGAAGCATGGGAGGGTGCGAGAATTCACCAGAGCCAGAGCAGGGAACAGAACAGACAGACGGATGAAATACACTGCTGAAGGGAGCAGTGGGCAGCAGGAGAGGTCTGCGTGCCATGCAAGACCCTCGCCTGGCGGCCCTCAACTATTTTTATTTTTCTCTTCTATTGAATCTGATCTTTCTCATTTTTCCTTTTTATTTATTTTATTTCCTTTTCTAAATGTGTGATTTGCTCATTTGTTCATTCTACTCTGAAATTTGATCTTTAGCCAGTTTAATTCTATTTAATGTGTTTTCTAAATTTGTCTGAATTTCATTCAGTCTCCTTTTGTGACCAATTTTATATATTCAGATTTTTTTGGTGAATAACACTCTTTATTCCCTGATATCCTTCCAAGATTTTGCACCTGTCTACTTGCCTTTGATAGACCTTTCTTTGGAGAGAGATCAACATGGCTGTGAAGAAATGCTATGAGTAAGGTCTCCCATATAAACAACTAATAGAGAGGAAAAGCAGCTTGTCCCTGTGAAGACTGGGACACAGAAGATAAATTGGCAAAGCTAGCAAACTGCCTGAAGAGGAAAGTTGCAATAAAAGAGGAACAGAAGAGAGGAAAACATCAGAACGCTGCTACCCTCCCCAACCCACAAAGCCAGCTCACTCCAGCCAACAGAAAGGAGAAAAAAAAACAAAAACAAAAAACCAAGAGCAAACTAGAGAACAAGGGCACAGTGAGTGGAAAGGAACTACTACAGGCACTGCACCCCCATGACCAGAACTGTGGAGCACTGTGCAGAAAGCACCCCGGAGGTGAGTGAATAGCACTAGGTAATTGCAAACTCAGTGCCATTAGAGGAAGATAAGGACTCTGTGGAGAGACCTGGAAATAGCCCAAGGCCAGCCAGGAAGCTTGTGTGGAAAAGCAGGTGTGCCCTTGAAAAGCAAACGAGGACCAGGGCCTCCCTGGTTGGGTGCGGTTGGGTGGTTGGGTGCTGGGTTGTGAAGCTGTCCGCAGCCTCTGCAGCGCCGGTGCGATCCCCAGCTGCTCCCCGGCCGCTGCTCCCGGGCCACCGAAGGAGGGTCCTACATGTTGCGGTGCAGACCGCTCCTGCCGCCCGCTGCTCCCCTCAGCAGTGTACTTCCGTCCTTCTGCCTGCTCTGCTCCCCACTCTGGCTCTGGTG